TGTGTGTCTGTGTGTGTCTCTCTCTGTTTGTCTGTCTGTCTGTGTGTCTCCGTGTCTGTGTTTTTGTCTCGCTCTCAAATTTAGTTCTACCTGATGACGATTGCTTGTGTTGCAATCGAAACGTCGTGTTCTATTTTATTTTATTTTTTCTACGTGACTTTACTGGATCATTATACTCAATTCATGAAAATAATTGGAGGATGATCTTATATTAAACTACGTGTGTAAAATCCTGTTCGGTTTGTGTCCTGTGCAATGTCCCCCGTGACTCTATCCCCTCACATTGTTAAGCCCATCAGATAGTTGGGAATGGGGTCGGTAATCAATTTTAATTTGCAGCCAAATTTAATTAATTGTCCTAATTAGTGCTGCCGTGGAAAGTGTTAAAAAGCTTTGCCGTTAAAAAACAAAAAACACAACAACCAAAGTCGCGAATTACCGCTGTCTCATGTTCACCTGTAGCTCCCAAACACCGCCAGGTGACAGGTGAACAGTGACGCAGGTGTCACGAGTATGGAGACAGGTGAACAGTGACGCAGGTGTCACGTACTTGGTGACAGGTGAACAGTGACGCAGGTGTCACGTGCTTGGTAACAGGTGAACAGTGACGCAGGTGTCACGTGTTTGGTGACAGGTGAACAGTGACGCAGGTGTCACGTGTGTTGGTGACAGGTGAACAGTGACGCAGGTGTCACGAGTATGGAGACAGGTGAACAGTGACGCAGGTGTCACGTGCTTGGTGACAGGTGAACAGTGACGCAGGTGTCACGTGCTTGGTAACAGGTGAACAGTGACGCAGGTGTCACGTGTTTGGTGACAGGTGAACAGTGACGCAGGTGTCACGTGTGTTGGTGACAGGTGAACAGTGACGCAGGTGTCACGAGCTTGGTGACAGGTGAACAGTGACGCAGGTGTCACGAGTTTGGTGTCAGGTGAACAGTGACGCAGGTGTCACGAGTTTGGTGACAGGTGAACAGTGACGCAGGTGTCACGAGTTTGGTGACAGGTGAACAGTGACGCAGGTGTCACGAGCTTGGTGACAGGTGAGCAGTGACTCAGGTGTCACGAGCTTGGTGACAGGTGAACAGTGACAGAGGTGTCACGTGCTTGGTGTCAGGTGAACAGTGACGCAGGTGTCACGAGCTTGGTGACAGGTGAACAGTGACGCAGGTGTCACGAGTTTGGTGACAGGTGAACAGTGACGCAGGTGTCACGTGCTTGGTGTCAGGTGAACAGTGACGCAGGTGTCACGAGCTTGGTGTCAGGTGAACAGTGACGCAGGTGTCACGAGTTTGGTGACAGGTGAACAGTGACGCAGGTGTCACGAGTTTGGTGACAGGTGAACAGTGACGCAGGTGTCACGAGTTTGATGAGAGGTGAACAGTGACGCAGGTGTCACGAGTTTGGTGACAGGTGAACAGTGACGCAGGTGTCACGAGTGTGGTGACAGGTGAACAGTGACGCAGGTGTCACGTGCTTGGTGACAGGTGAACAGTGACGCAGGTGTCACGTGCTTGGTGTCAGGTGAACAGTGATGCAGGTGTCACGAGTTTAGTGACAGGTGAACAGTGACGCAGGTGTCACGAGTGTGGTGACAGGTGAACAGTGATGCAGGTGTCACGAATGTGGTGACAGGTGAACAGTGACGCAGGTGTCACGTGCTTGGTGACAGGTGAACAGTGACGCAGGTGTCACGAGTTTGGTGACAGGTGAACAGTGACGCAGGTGTCACGAGTTTGGTGACAGGTGAACAGTGACGCAGGTGTCACGAGTTTGGTGACAGGTGAACAGTGACGCAGGTGTCACGTGCTTGGTGACAGGTGAACAGTGACGCAGGTTTCACGAGTGTGGTGACAGGTGAACAGTGATGCAGGTGTCACGAGTGTGGTGACAGGTGAACAGTGACGCAGGTGTCACGTGCTTGGTGACAGGTGAACAGTGACGCAGGTGTCACGAGTTTGGTGACAGGTGAACAGTGACGCAGGTGTCACGTGCTTGGTGTCAGGTGAACAGTGACGCAGGTGTCACGAGTGTGGTGACAGGTGAACAGTGGCGCAGGTGTCACGTGCTTGGTGACAGGTGAACAGTGACGCAGGTGTCACGTGCTTGGTGACAGGTGAACAGTGACGCAGGTGTCACGTGCTTGGTGTCAGGTGAACAGTGACGCAGGTGTCACGAGTTTAGTGACAGGTGAACAGTGACGCAGGTGTCACGAGTGTGGTGACAGGTGAACAGTGATGCAGGTGTCACGAGTGTGGTGACAGGTGAACAGTGACGCAGGTGTCACGTGCTTGGTGACAGGTGAACAGTGACGCAGGTGTCACGAGTTTGGTGACAGGTGAACAGTGACGCAGGTGTCACGAGTTTGGTGACAGGTGAACAGTGACGCAGGTGTCACGAGTTTGGTGACAGGTGAACAGTGACGCAGGTGTCACGTGCTTGGTGACAGGTGAACAGTGACGCAGGTGTCACGAGTGTGGTGACAGGTGAACAGTGACGCAGGTGTCACGTGCTTGGTGACAGGTGAACAGTGACGCAGGTGTCACGAGTTTGGTGACAGGTGAACAGTGACGCAGGTGTCACGTGCTTGGTGTCAGGTGAACAGTGACGCAGGTGTCACGAGTGTGGTGACAGGTGAACAGTGGCGCAGGTGTCACGTGCTTGGTGTCAGGTGAACAGTGATGGAGGCTTCACGCGTTTGGTGACAGGTGAACAGTGATGGAGGCTTCACACTGGATCTGTTTGTGTGGGTTCACTGCGCTGCGCCCAGAACAATCCCACAGATTACCCAAGATACCTGTGCAGGCCGTCTAGTAATCTGCTCGAGTGGAATGGCGATGGGGATAACTGGTGCTTTTCACAACACGTAATTGCAGAGCCCGGGACGGAACAAGACGTGGAATGGAAGGGCATCCTAGAGGACGTTCACTTAGGGAGACGGAGCGATAACATCAAGTTCACGTGGCAGACGGAATGTTGCATCGCAGGATCGTGCGAGATGCGACACCGGTTTGAGGAGGCCTTCATGCAGCAGTGTATTGACCATGGCTGATGATGATAAGATGCTTTTGATTCTGTAGACGCTTGGATTCGGTGGCGAGCGGGGCACACCTCAGCATCAGTGGGAAACTACAACAACACGTTTTTCCAGAACATGGCTAGATTTATCCTGCACACACAGCCCACTGGGCAGCCAACCGCAGCTCTCCGGGGAAGAAAAGGTGCAGCGTTTTGTTTTTTTCTTCTTCTTAAGCGCAACTCTGAACGTCTCATCCGAGAGGGGAGCGCCATGTAGACCTCAAAGGGGAGTCTGCGAGAAGCTCCGCACGGAACATCTGACCCGCTTTATAAACACCGCCCGTCCGCAACAGAGACACGTGTTGCTTTCCAACGCATCGGGTTTTGTTTTGTTTTTGCTCAAATATTTCAACTGGGAAAATTCGATAAAGATGGAACGTCTCGTTTGCAAGGTTGTCCGGGGGTGTAAGTGGACACCTACGCCAAGAGAACACTCTCCCGCCTGATGAAGGCCGCTTGTTAAGCGGTCGAAACGTCGTGGGTTTTTTGCTTTTAAAATTTTCAATGTATAATTTAAAAATATATATATATATTTAACTATTTTTTGGGAGTTTTTTTCGTTTATTTTTTTCAATTTATTATTTGTGTTTTATTTGTATAGATGTTTTTCTATCTACGTGACTTTACCGAAATAACCAAGAAGACGTAATGACGCGTGTATACAAACAATGTCAAACATTTAGCAGTGGTTGTCTATGCCGTGTGAGTGGGTGCCTGGTGAGGGACAGGTGAGTGGTGGATGTTATTGCTTTTGTCATTATGGTAACCCAGGTCACTCTTGCAGAATGAAACTCCTCTAACCTGGCCTCCTGAGTTCTCACCCTGGTTAAACAAACTCTACTTGAACTTGAAAGGTGAATGTTTGACGAGGGTCAGGTGATTGTCCTGTGAATCTCACATTAGCTCGTCTAGAGGACGGGCTGGCCGTGCGTCACCAATCACAGGAGAGAGTGGGGGTTTATGTTGCTTTATTTATTTAACAGTTGCTGAGCACAGGCCCAAAGACACAAAACGTCAAGCGGCCAGCAACAAACAGCACTACCAGGAACCGATGAGAGTGTTGCACGTCTCTTGACTTGAGAAAAGTAGCTTGGGGGAAAAAACCGGCGGGAGGAGGGAATGGGAAGGAAAAAGGAGAAAGTGAAGAGTCGTGATCTGCAGTGTGGTGAGTGGTGAGTGACTGGGTGAGTGGTGAGTGGGTGAGTGGTGAGTGGGTGAGTGGTGAGTGGGTGAGTGACTGGGTGAGTGTGTGAGTGGTGAGTGCGTGAGTGACTGGGTGAGTGGGTGAGTGGGTGAGTGACTGGGTGAGTGGGTGAGTGACTGGGTGAGTGAGTTAGTGTGTGAGTGGGTTAGTGACTGGGTGAGTTGGTTAGTGAGTGGGTGAGTGACTGGGTGAGTGGGTCAGTGACTGGGTGAGTGGGTGAGTGACTGGGTGAGTGGGTTAGTGACTGGGTGAGTTGGTTAGTGAGTGGGTGAGTGACTGGGTGAGTGGGTTAGTGACTGGGTGAGTGGGTTAGTGACTGAGTGAGTGGGTTAGTGAGTGGGTGAGTGGGTTAGTGTGCGAGTGGGTTAGTGAGTGTGTTAGTGAGTGTGTTAGTGAGTGTGTTAGTGAGTGTGTGAGTGTGTTAGTGAGTGTGTGAGTGTGTTAGTGAGTGTGTGAGTGTGTTAGTAAGTGTGTGAGTGAGTTAGTGTGTGAGTGTGTTAGTGAGTGTGTGAGTGTGTTAGTGAGTGTGTTAGTGAGACGTTGTGACCAGCAGTGTGGTAGTTGAACGCAATGTTGTGGATGAGACCCCAGAGTCAGTGTTTGGCAGAGTCAGAGTCCTCAACGTGGGTGGAGGAATCATCGAGTGAATTTCACGGGGATGGTCACCATGGCGGCAGGCAGAGAAGAGTGATCAGGTGTCCCGCAAGAGAGAACTCACAGGATGAGTAGACACCGTGACTGCTTCGAGAGGCCCAGCAGCACCAACAGGCAGATGATAATGTCCAGGATGAGCAGCAGTAGGTAGGCCAGCCACCTGTGCGTGGGAAAAGAATGACGTGTCAACATTTAAAAGCACACACAACAACAACAGCAATCGTTGCATTTACACGGCGCTGAAATGCCTCGGCAAAACAAAGCGCCCCACACCCCGCATCCCATCTGCCACTGAGCACCCCCGGTGGCAGTCGTCTCCGTGCGGCACAAGGTGACTCGGCACCTGGCCTCCGAGAGGGGGTGTCCTTCCGCCAGTAGGAGGGGGTGGCGAGGATCGGCACGCTACACCTGCGACAGCGGCTCGCTCAACAGCTCAACTCAACTCGCAGGTGACAACGGCAACACAAACAACGTTGGAGCCCATTTCTCAATGGACCGCGATGGTGCGGGCGACGCCGCTCGACTCACAACGCGCAGAAACAGTCTTCGTGTGCTCTGTGCATCGTTGTAAAGGTTTCCGTCGAACAATCTGTGCATGAAATTTTGATTTAAAGCTTTCCTGACTGCAGTAATTCATATTCTTAGTTCTTTCGGTAAAGTCACGTTGAAGGGAAACAACAAAATAATAAAATATATATAAAACAATAAAAATTATCACGACGTTTCGACCATAACACAAACGGTCGTCTTCAGGTGTGTCGGTTTGCATAAATTTATTTATTTATAAAAGGCGCATTTATTTATTTATAAAAAAAAACGTTAGCGCCACGCGCAGCGATTTGGCAGTTTATTTAGACGGACTAGTCCATCTATGTTCTGAAAAGAGGATGGACTAGTCCGTCTAAATAAACTGCCAAATCGCTGCGCGTGGCGCTAACGTTTTTTTTTATAAATAAATAAATGCGCCTTTTATAAATAAATAAATTTATGCAAACCGACACACCTGAAGACGACCGTTTGTGTTATGGTCGAAACGTCGTGATAATTTTTATTGTTTTATATATATTTTATTATTTTGTTGTTTCCCTTCAACGTGACTTTACCGAAAGAACTAAGAATATAATCTGTGCATGCATTCCAAATAAAATCTAAGTAGACGTTTTTTTTTGTATTGCCTCTGCAACACACTTGTTTGTGTTCTCATTCCTATGACCTTGATTCGGTTTTTTTTGCGCCGATTTATGTTTGGGCCATTGTTGCAATTATTTTCATGTCATTGCCTTTTATCGTGTTGGTCAGCCAGGTCAGCCGCTCTTACAACTCAGACTCATCCTGGCCTCTTGAGTTCTCACCTGGATGAACAAAAATCAACTCTAGAATAATTCAGTTGAACGTGCAAGAGGGGGGGGGGTGGCGGAGGGGGGGTAGAGTGATGGTTGCTGTGAACAGAAATCCCATCGGTTGAAAAGCACCACAGGGTGTTGCCATAAAGGGTCTCCCTCTGGCTGAGATAAAAATGCGATGAAATGATTGAGGATAAGGGAGTGCTCGGTACACATGGGTGCCCAGAGATCAAGCAGCAGCAGCAGCAGCAGCAATACGATTATCTGCAAAATGCAATCATCTGACTCGACAGTGTGGATTAAATGTGGCAGATGGGACTGCAGAGTAAGTGTGCTGGGTTATGCATATGCGATGTGGCATCTGCTGCATGCCTCCGAAAGGTTATTCACAGGACTACGGGATTGACTGCAACCCAGCGCCAATGCGTTCTAGAGCCTCAAGCATAACGACGAGAACAAGCTACTTAAACAAAACAGGAACGTAATTACACTTACTAAAAGTATTACGCTTGATTACATGATCATTTAAATCTTTTAAAATGTTTTAAATCCCTTTTATGAGTTGGTAGTGTAGCGGTTAGCGCGCTGCGCTACGAACCTGGCAACCCGGGTTCGATTCCCGCTCACGGCCAACACCAGTGACGATTATTTGAACCGGTCCTGGGCCTCCCTTAGGTCGACTCAGTACCTGGTGCGGTGTGTAAACATTGCTACTAGGGAGACAAAGGCGGCCAGGCGTGGTGTTGGCCACCCACCCCCTCGTGTGCCGTGCCGGCCTTCATAGGTGCTCGCTAACAGCACTTGCCCCAACAGTCTGTTAAGGCTATACTGGGGGATCTTTTTCTTTGTTATCTTTGTGTGTGTGCGTGCGTGTGTGTGCGTGTGTGTGCGTGCAGACTGCCCTAGATGACATCATAACAACAGTCTGGACCGCTGGACGGGTTCCACAGGATTGGAAGGATGCCCTGGTGGTCCCCCTCTTTAAGAAGGGGGACCGCACAGACCCTAACAACTACAGGGGCATCTCACTCCTCAGTGTGCCGGGATAGGTCCTGGCAAGGATTATTCAACATCGCCTTGCCAAGCACGCTGAGGAGAGGCTTGCGGAGCCCCAATGCGGTTTCAGGAAGGCGCGGTCCTGCACAGATGCCATATTTACTGTCCGTCTGCTACAGCAGAGGTGTAGGGAATTCCAACAAGACCTACATCTCTGCTTTATTGACCTGGTCAAGGCCTATGATACCATCAGTAGGCCTGGGCTCTGGGTTGTTGTTCGTGCTTTCGGAGTCGCTGACCCTCTGCTCACGATCACCTTCATGATGGTGAGCGGGCCCGGGTAATACTACGTGGCCGGGAGTCAGAGCCATTCCCTGTACACCTTGGGGTGCGACAGGGATGTCCTCTGGCTCCCACATTATTTAACATCTATTTTGACCACGTAGTTCGTGAAGCCTTCAATGGCTGGTACAGATACAATGGGAGGCTGATCGATGCCCGGGTGCGATCAAGGGACGGCTCCCTATTGCTCAACCATGTTATGTTTGCCGATGATCTGGTGATAGCTGCTCACTCAGAGGAGGAGTTGGAGGCGCTGCTGCTGAACCTGGAGCTTGGCACTAAGAGGTGAGGCCTTACCATCAGCCCCACCAAAACTAAGCACCTACACCTGGGTATTTTGTACCATCGGAAAATCCACCCCACAACTCCTAATTGGTCATGGGGCAGTTGTGGAGAGAGTGGAGAGTTTCCCATACCTGGGCAATGTGCTCATGACCGGTTCCGGTTTAACCGCAGAGATCTCACTCCGAATCAGTCGAGCGGCATCATCTTTTCATCGATTGCGTAATGCTGTGTGGAAGCTACCTGGTCTCTCGCTCCGCACGAAGCTCCAGGTCTTCTCGGCCACGGTCATTCCCTCCCTTCTCTACGCTTGCGAAACGTGGACCCCCCTAATGGAACATCTTCGCTGGTTAGAAACATCTAGGCTGGCCCGCCTACGATCCATCCTGGGTTTAACCAGGCTGGATTGTGTGAGGAGCTCACAAATCCTTGAAAGATCTGGACAAAGTCCCATCGGTGAGCTCGTATGGCAGGGAAGGCTGCATTGGCTGGGTCATGTATCCCTCATTCCCAGCCACCGCATGCCGAAACAGCTTTTGTTCGGGCAGATCGAGGGGGCTAAACGGGCGTGGCACGGGCTAGATAAGAGATGGAGTGATGTGGTACGGGAGGATGTGGAGCTGAGTGGAATTACCGATAACTGGCACCAGCGGTGTCAAGATCGGCCGCTGTGGAGGAGGCTCGTGAAGGACGCTACTGGGCAGTTGGAGGCAGTCGCCCTCCAACAACAACGGAGGGCGGAGGAGCGACGCTCACAACAGGCGGAGCGCCGGGTGGCTAAAGCACAGCAGGTTGGCACAGTAGGGGGCACAGGTGGTGCATCAGCCAGTCATCTCAGTAATCTCAGTCAGTCGACCGGTAGCACCTGGGTCTGCCCCGTGACCTCTTGCCAGCGGGCGTTCGACACTTCACGTGGCCTCAAGGTGCACATAACCTGGCACAAGCATTGTGGTGACGTCACCGCCACTTAGTGGCGAATGGCGGTTGTTGTTGTGCGTGCATGTGTGTGCATGTGTGTGTGTGCGTGCGTGTGTGTGCACGTGTGTGTGTATGCGTGTGTGTGCGTGTGTGTTTATGCGTGTGTGTGCGCGTGTGTGTGTGCGTGTGTATACGCGTGTGTGCGCGTGTGCGTGCACGTGTGTGCGTGCGCGCGTGTGTGCACGTGTGTGTGTGCGTACTAAGACACCATGAGATCTCCTCTGCCAGTACCAAAATACGATAATAGGGTTTTCCCCTTTTTTCTGGCAACAGAAAAAAGGGAAAAACTTCTTATCATACTAAGACATTTTAACGCCCCACTACTGCAGATTTATACGACACAAATACCTTTAATCAACACGTCATGAATATTAATGTTGCATTACTCTGGCTCTAGAGACGTGAAAATGAAGGTCATTGTACTATTATTGTGATTGCTAGCATTGTTACTCTCATTGTCTGTGCACCGTTTGTCTGTATCTGTCTCTCTGTCTCTATCTGTCTGTCTCTATCTGTCTCTGTATCTGTCTGTGTATCTGTCTCTTAGTCTGTGTATGTCTCTCTATTTGTCTCTGTGCCTGTCTGCTCATCTGAATGTGTCGCCTGCGCTCTCTCTCTCTCTCTCGCTCGCTCTACTCTGTTACAACTACGGTACGCTGTGCTCTCTCTGCTTTCTTCACGTCACTTTTGACATATTCAGACACAGAATCTCAGGACGCATCACCAGGAAAAACACAACGCAAATTCGGATTCATGTAACGTCTTTGAAACGTGTGGAGCCCGTGAAGCTCGGGACCCTCCGTGATGAATGCACGGCGATACAAATTAACAACGACATCGCTACACGCACATTGAGCACACGGACTGGTACAGCAAAATCAGCAAATTTGATTAATAAGTTCGTGTGGAGAGGACATTTTTGAGGTTATACGCATGAAAAAAAGGGTGTTTTTGTATTCATATATTGCCCTGACATTTATCATTGTTATCCACAACTTGCCACCTTTGACTGCAGCATAATTCCTCTCAAATTGTGGCCATGATTTGTAGCATAGGCTGTGAATTTTAAACGTGTCACCTACCTGTACATATATAACCTGTCCAGCCACTGCAGTCATATTTCAAACATACCTTCGAAAATATTTTCTAAACTGGAACAGTTAATCACCGAATCGTTTGCTGTGTAATCCATTTATTTCAACATTAGAGGAACGGCGGCACAGTGGTTGGCGGTTAGCACGCTGCACTACGAACCCACACAACCTGGGTTTGACTCCCGATCACAGCTAACATCAGTGGCATGTGACAAGTGAACCGATCCTGCACTCCCCCGTCACGACCTGCACTGATGAGCGGAGGGAGAGGCCTCCGTCAGTGGACAGACAAAAGCCTAGACATCACGATTCGTCACCAAACAATTGCTGGCAACAGTGATTCCCATAAACTCATCACTGTGTTCGGAAGAAAAACAGAGTTCTACAAGGAGGCAAAAGATACATGAATGAGCATAGTAACGAAAGCAAAGTTCACTTTGACCAGAGCTGCATCTTTATTTTACACTGCAGCAGCAGCTGTTGCTGTCCTTCCCCAGCGCCTCCAATTAGCGCGGTTGGCTACGTACTATGCGAAAGAAGTTCAACACACATACATACTTACGAGGCTGTTCCTACAAACCGCTCACCGGTTCAGGGCAGGAAACCATACTCTTTGGTTCTTTCGGTAAAATCACGTAGGTAGAAAAATTACACAGGGCAGAAAACTTCAACGGAACTTCACGTCCTTTCTTTTGGAATTCAAAGTTTCTTGCCGTGACAAAAAGTATGCATTTGGGGCTTGCGAAAACACACACACACCAGACTAGCTACAAAACAACGTTGTTACACCGTTTACAGCGGTAAAGTTGCTTTGTGAGCTGGGTGGTTCACGTTGCGCGAAAACCCACGGCAACGTCAACCAAGGTCCCTGGCTGACAGAGAGCGGTTCTAGGGAGCTCCCTCCAGCGGAAGGCTGGCAGTGGCGTGAGCAAGAAATTGCAGGGTTGCACCTTTATCGTTTGCCATTTTTTTTTTTTTTACCGACCGGCCAATGACCTCTCTAGAAAATCCACAGCGGCATTTGCGGGCAAAGTCCACCGCGGACCTCTGCCAGGTGGTCGATTCATCTCGGTTACCTCTGTGGCCCCACCGCACACGCGCACGCCGCCCTCAACTGCGGATATGGCGCCGCGAGTCCTCCTCGCAGATCGACCACGGCTCGTGCGCGCACTGCGCTGCAACATTTCCTTTCATTCAGGACCAAACGCTTAAAATGAATCAATATAAAACCATCCGCAGTGTGCAAACCATCATTTGGCTGGCGAGATGCTCGTTATGGCCGTGATGTTTATGCCAATGAGCATGGGCGGCTCCCACTGCTCACGCCGGCGCGGGAGACTTAACCCCAAACACTCGCAACGCGGCGTCAACATTGGTGATTTCTTTCGTGAAATATCGACGCACAGAGCATGATGAATATGATTCAATCTGTTCCAGAGAACCAACAACTTCATGAAAGGCTGACTCTTCGACAACAACAAGGCTTTTATTCGGCGAGACGCGCGCGTCCATAGAACCTATGGCGTGCTCTCTGTGGTGGTCATTATCAACTGAATCATCTGCATTAACCCACTGCCAGATGAATCTCTCCCTGATGCAACCATGAAGTCATCGTATTCCATACTGCTAGCAGTTAAGAGTTGAATGCGATTTCTTTGTTGATGATGATGATGATGCGACAGTAACGCAGTGCCAACACATTGCTGATGGTGACAATTCCTGACCAACCCAGGGATGAGCGTACTCACCGTGAGCTATTGTGTAAAACCGCCAGCTTGTTTGTTTACGAGATCATTTTGGATCACGTGTTGGACCTGACCGGCAGTGGAAGAGGAGCCGTGCCAGAACTTCCCGGAGCACCGAATGTGCGTACCGCCACTTCTCACAACCACTCCGACTCCGGCCAACGTGGGCTCCAGGACTAATGGGTTGCAGAGCAGAACTTACACATTTCCATCACAGGACTTGATGTGAACTGTTCCACCCTGATCCTAAGTCACTCTCAGTCAACATTCCTGAAGGAAGCCCTGCAGGCCCAACATATGAACTAAAATGCTATCGTAAACAAACGAGCCGGCGGTTAAACGCACGAGCTCACGGAGTCACAAACTCTTAGGCGTTACGACCGATCACACCAATTGTAAATGTCGTGAACGTTTCCCCGTTCATCTCCGCTCGTGTCACAACCCTGAGCTCTGCCCAGAGCACGCGTCCACTTACATTGCCCGCGCCTCGGTGGCTTTCTTAACAAGCAGCCCAGAGTTTAAACCAAGCTCACAAACGCGCCTTCGTTCGTCGAGCAGCTGCCCAATGTGGGGGTGGGGAGCGTAACAAGAAATAAACAAATGGGAAAAACAAAACCCGGAGAGAGAGAGAGCGAGAGAGAGCGATAGAAAGAGCGAGCGAGTGAGAGAGTGAGCGAGCGAGTGAGAAAGAGAGCGAGTGAGAGAGAGAGCGAGCGAGTGAGAGAGAGAGCGAGTGAGAGAGAGAGCGAGCGAGTGAGAGAGAGAGCGAGAGAGCGAGCGAGTGAGAGAGCGAGCGAGTGAGAGAGAGAGTGAGCGAGAGAGCGAGCGAGCGAGAGAGTGAGCGAGTGAGAGAGCGAGCGAGTGAGAGAGAGAGAGTGAGCGAGAGAGAGAGCGAGAGAGTGAGCGAGTGAGAGAGCGAGCGAGTGAGAGAGAGAGCGAGCGAGTGAGAGAGCGAGCGAGTGAGAGAGAGAGTGAGCGAGAGAGCGAGCGAGCGAGTGAGAGAGAGAGTGAGCGAGAGAGCGAGCGAGCGAGAGAGTGAGCGAGTGAGAGAGCGAGTGAGAGAGAGAGCGAGCGAGTGAGAGAGAGAGCGAGAGAGCGAGTGAGAGAGAGAGCGAGAGAGTGAGCGAGTGAGATAGAGAGAGAGCGAGAGAGCGAGCGAGTGAGAGAGCGAGTGAGTGAGAGGGAGAGAGCGAGCGAGTGAGAGAGAGAGAGAGCGAGCGAGTGAGAGAGCGAGCGAGTGAGAGAGAGCGAGTGAGAGAGAGAGCGAGAGAGCGAGCGAGTGAGAGAGAGAGCGATAGAAAGAGCGAGCGAGCGAGTGAGAGAGCGAGCGAGTGAGAGAGAGAGCGAGCGAGAGAGCGAGAGAGCGAGAGAGCGAGCATGCGCTGACCTGTAGAATTCGACGAAGGAGATGCTGTGCGCCGTGCGCTCGAGCGACACGCCGCGGCCCCAGAAGGGCACCCCGGCCAGCTGCTGCAGGAGGCCGTCCAGCTCGGTGCACGCCCGCCGCACCAGGCGCAGGAACTCGGGCCGCTTGGCGAACGCTTCCTCCAGCCGCAGCAGCTCCGAGCCCACAGCCTCGCGCAGGCTCGACTCCGTCACCAGCACCTGCGGCGAGTCACGGTCGCGCCGCGGAGAGTTACGGTGGCACCGTGGTCAGAGCGGTGGCCTCAAATCGGAGGAAAGCACTACATCCCCAGCTCGACTGCTTGGTTAAAATGCCAGGAGAGTCGTGCAAACACAGCGAGATTTTCGAGGCCAGAGCGCCCCTGTGAATCTTCACCATGGAACTGACTCACAATCTCCACCCTGTCACATCCGTGTTTGTTGCGTGTCTTCTCTACGCATCCAAGCGAGCTCAGTTACACCACATCAAGGGCACTAACCAATTCGGTTGAATAACATTAAACCGTTAAAGGTGCAGCCCTGCAACGTCCCGCTCACGCCACTGCTGGCAGAAGGGTCTCAAACGGAGGACGCTCCGGAGTGCCCCTCCAGAGAATATATTGGTCGACTCTTCTAAACTGGCCAGACGTCACGGAAGCGGTGGCACTGCCCACGCTTCACCCCTACCGCACGCGATCTCCAGCAAGCATCGGCATTCACCGGTGGGTTCAACCTCCCGAGGGGTTCACGCTCGGGGCTCTCGCGGCGCACTTAGGGCCCCCAACGCACGGTGGGCTGGGGGGGGGGGGAGACCGCACGCCGCCATCGCTAAATCTCATCCTCAGCCCAGGGCCGAACGGCCACCGGCGCGATGCCGCCGCCGCCGCCGCTCGTTCCTCCCGCGGAGCGACGCGGTCGCCGCGGCGTCGTTTCTCACGCGTCACGACGTGACGTTGCGGAAACTTTAACAGACAGCTCGCGTGCAACAGCTCCGTGGGTCGTCGCATCGCAGTGTCCCGGGAGGTGGGGGGGGGCGAGGCTTGGGGATGCCGTCATCCAGCAGTAGATTGATCAATGCTGATGATGATAAATGAAATAAAGTGGACACATTTCATTTCACATCCATGCCATTCTCATACCACGAAGGCCATCACGAGGCCGTTGTGTTTCACAAACCGTGTAGCCTGCCTATAGGGGACAGTGCCGCTGTGCGGTTTTGCCCAGTCGAGTAATTTTCTAATTTGAACCATGAGGCCGGCAAAACAGGGTCCACTCGTGTTTCGAATAACGTCGCGGGATTTTTAACATCCACTACTGAAGCGGATTGCGCACGCGCGGTGCACTTAATGAACAATGCGCGCGCTCAGTATTATCACCCAGCGGGCGGCCGGAGGTCTTGAACCACGGAGTTCTGCTGCAGGCGGCAAACCGGGCCACGACTCGGGACAACTCCCCAGCGACGACGTACGTCTCCCAGCAACAACAACCGCAGGCGCGACTCCACGCCGCTATCCGCGGGGCTTCCCGCAGATCAACGCTGCTCGAGGTCACTCCTTTTAATCGGGACAAATACGCTGGTAATGCGCAGGGCCCTCTATATATATTAGAAAAAAAAGGATTGTGGGTCCGGGTGCGAAGATGTTAAGAATAGCGGGTAACCAGCCCCGTGGCTTGGAGGAAGCCGTGTGTCATGGAGAAGGTTAATCCATCGCCTCACATGACAGCATTCGTTGAAGCTACTTTATGAAGTAAGCATTCGTATGGTCATTGGCTTTATGACCGTGAAACCCTTCCATGGTAAGGCCCAGCTTTGGATTCGCTTCCTCTATTTATTGCACTAAAAATAAAAGAGCACTGCCGATACACTGAGCACAGCTTGAATGAAATTCGTTAGCCCTGAATTCCCTAAACCCCAGTGCCCCATAGTTTAGGATAATGCAGTGTCTCCCCATCGATCACGTTCTCTGCATTGCTGGCCCTGCAGTGAAAGTAAGTCTTGAAAACGATCAATTATCAAGGTTGTCTAGGATTCATTATCATTGATCGAAAGACCTTCCCCATTTGTGGGGAAGGTCTGCTATACGTGTCACGATCTAATCTGGTGGTGGTGGTGGCGCAGTGGTTAGAGCCCAGCACTGTGAACTTGGTGACCTGGTTTCAATTCCTGGCCACGGCTAACATCGGTTAGCACCCCACCCCCTCCACCTCCACCTACGACACTGACCTGTGATGAAGTTTCTGGTCAAATAACCATCATGACCAACACGGCACAGGGAGGCATTCATCTAGCAGCGGGTTTACAAAGGGCTGTAAACGATGATGATGATGATGATAATAACAATTACATTTGTTCAATGAAATAGAAATACATCCACTTGCAGTGGACACAACGGAGTCTCTCTGGTCCCTGCTTGCTGGTCACTCGCTCAGACGCACGCAGTGGTCCACTGCACTTTAAACACTTTCTTTTCGGTTTGCATGTCCGCTGAACTTTCTCGAGTGTCAGTCTGCCATACCCTGCATACAAATTGCCCTCAACTGAATGAATGAAGGCCTTCAGAGTTATTCGGCTCTATTGTTGCCCTTGGCTTAATTTGACGTGCATTTCATTTGCATCGCTGCTGCTGCTGCTGCTGCAACAGCGGAGTAACACTCCCCTCTGCATCCCAAGCGGCACTGCGCCTCTGTGAATATTAGTCGCACAAATTAATCGCTCCCTTCATTGCGGAGACTATAAGAAAGTAAATGAGCAGACAATACTATGCCTAAATTTCGTTTTAAAGCTTTCGTGACTGCAGGGATTCCTATTCTTGGTTCTTTCGGTAAAGTCACGTAGAAGGGAAATATGATTATTTTTTATTATTTTTATTTTATTATTTCCCTTCTACGTGACTTTACCGAAAGAACCAATAATATAATACTATGCCTCCTTCACACAGCTGTCCCTACACATACAAAATAAAGCTTTAAATTTTACACATCCCATCAGCCAAACGCATGGCCTTCTGAAAGTGCATAATTTTAGCAGTATTGGTTAAACACAAGGAAAACTCTGAACCGGTTTTCACCGTTTGGTGTATTATCAGCAGTCAAGCTTGTTTTAACCAATGTTGGTGAACTGGTAAGATGTTTATAGATTAACGAGAATTGGCCCACGGAGCTACAGAGCTCTGTTTCAGAAGCGACTTGGCAACAAATGATAGGTGACGGTTTGGGCAATGGTCCTCCAACATAGCACAAAGATAGGGGTCACGCATATATTCGTGATTTATGTTTAGCATACTTCCCGACATGCAACAAACCTGAAATTTGCCATGTGGGTAGTTTCCAGATTGTACACCATGCAAAAAGTTTAAAAATAGACTTTTGTTATTTTTTGGGGGGGGAGCGGGCGCAATAATGCATATATTTTGCACGGCAAGCGAGCTGTGACGTCACATCTGTGATGTCACCCGCATGCTGAAGCGTTACGCAGTGTGCCTGTGGATGTCACGCATCCCCCCCCCCCAACCCTCCGCGAGTAAAGTGCCATACAAATGTGTTGCAGGTCTAAGGCGTTCTTCACGCAGCATTGCTTTATTATTTGAGTCGTTTACTGCCGTACGCACCCTGAAAGTTGCGTGTCTGTAGCAAGCGCGTCTATGTGTACCTATGGACGCGCGCGTGTTTGTGTGTGGGGGGGGGGGGAGCGGTAGTGTAGTGGTTAGCGCGCTCCGCTACGAACCCGGCGAACCGAGTTCGATTCCCGCTCACGGCCACCACCGGTGACGATTATTTGAACTGGTCCTGGGCCTCCCCTAGGTCGACTCGGCCTCAATCGAGTAACTGGTTTGGTGTGTGAACATCGCCACCGGGGAGATAAAGGCGGCCGGGCGTGGTGAATCCAAGTCCCGGGCGAAGCCGGGTAGTAAAGCTAGTTATAATATATAAGGCTGGAAAAAACATTTTACCATGTAATGTTGCAACGCATGCAATAAGCGGTGGAATTAGTCACCCGTCCTCTCGCTGGCAGGAGGTCACGGGATAGACCAAGGTGGCATGGGTTGACTGACTGAAATTACTGGCAGATGCACCACCTGTGCCCCCTACTATGCCAACTTGCTGTGTTTTAGCCGCCTGGCAATCTGCTAATTATTGTTATCGTTGCTCCTCTGTCTTCTATTGTCATTGGAGGGCGTCTGCCTCTAACTGCCCAGGAGCGTCCTTCACGAGCCTCCTCCACAGAGGCCGATCTTCACACCGCTGGTACCAGTTATTGGCAATGCCACCGTGAAAATGAGCAACAAACTTAACAACAAAATAAATCTTACATGCTTATGCTATTTCCCTGTTAACGTCTCAATGTGTTTAACAAATTATTTCATGGCATTCACAGTGCTGCTGTTTACATATTCATTAAAATTAGAGTTTACAACCACACGTAGGCATTTGTACGACAACCCAAATTGCCCCTCGATGCTATTTACAAACAAGGATCTTGTTGCGTCTGTGAGCTGTGAGTTTAATTGAAAGGCTATAAAGTGTTCGGCTCAAACACTCACGGGCGCAGCTAAATTTACGAGGGAAGAAGCAGGAATTGTTCACTCATTTTAGCTGCATAAATTATAAGCGTGGGAGACTGGGGTTTTTTTTTGTCAAACGCAAAAAAAGTGCTCCATTTTGGGGGGCTTCATTCGTAATTAGGCACACACTGTGCCAGCAATCAAGCACCACCGTCATGCATCAGACTCAATGGCCCCCTTGACAACCGAAACACAATCCAAACTTCACACAATGGGCTCCATATGATAATTACTGCACTTAATGACCGGCCTTTTCATCTCACTGCCTTAATCATGCAACTTTACACGAACGAGCATTTAATGAGGCAGCCACGCGATAAGCTCTGTCAAAGTGACGACGAAGAAACATGTCCGTCTGGCAGTGACTTGTGGAGCCCTCTCAGGGCGGTTGCCTCCTCCAGCTGTGATGCTTTGCGCTCATCTCTCTCTCTCTCGACGTCGAATCAATCACCGTCTCCCGTGCCGCATGAAAAAAGCGTCTCTTCAACGCACGCACGTGAAACACGCCAACGCTATCGGAGCGCCCGCGTCAGGCTTCCCAGCCAGTCACCCACGACTCCACGTCTCCTGCCGCCGCTTTAACCCGGGCCGAGTGCCTCAGCGGCAGAGCTAGGGGCTCTCAACCGGGAGGTTGTGAGTTCAAAATCCTGGAGGGTCAATGCAGCCCATCATCCCTCTGGGGTAGGTAAAATAGGTGCCAATTTGTGGGCAAGTTAACTGAGGTTGTCATATGGAGAGGCTAACGACTGCCATAGGAATGTGGAATTTCCACCACTGGCTCAGGGCTGTGAACAGCGGATGAGCATCGCCCCAATGCTCGTTTGAGCAGAAAATTTCTTTGACTTCGTTGGTTCAGTTTTTTTTGCTAAAAATAAATAAAAAGTGAAATTAGAATTTTTTTTTTATATTTAAAAAATAAAGTAATCATATTATTCATTCACTAAAATGGAACGAATGACTGCTCAACAGGCGACGGAGCTGCCAGCGTGACCGCCACCCTGACCTCCGACGCGGTCTCACGGAGAGACCGCGTCGGACATCACAACGGGGACAACACAACAACAGCGCAGTCGGAGAGACAGCAAGCATAAGACGAAGCGACGTGCGGGAGGCCACCGTGAGCGCGTGTGGCCAAACGATGAGCCGAGCGAAACGTTGACGCTAATGGCCTTGACCTCGGAGGGTTACGGGGCGCCTCTGCAATATTCAATATCAAGAGGAATTTCAAAGCTATTCACGGACCTGTCGTTAACGATGTAAATGCGGATGGTTCTAAATATTACGTGTGAGCGCACGTGCGTGCACCCCCATGTATTATTTAACGCCGGGAGAATTGAGAATCGTCGCGTGAACCGTGATGGACGTTTACTCCACTGGCTGCGCGCCCGTGCAATATCATATTTTGCGGGGCGATTGTACTCGCACCGTCACACGACGGAGAGAGGTGAGACGAGGGGAGAAAGGGGGGAGGGGGAGGGCAGGAGACGGACGGGGAGAGAGATGGGTGCTGCGGGAGCAGAGAGACAGAGAGAGGTGTGTGCAGGACATCACCACGCCGACCGGATTGGCCGTGCCCTTACTGGCCGTGCCCCTCGGTCTCGCATCATCAGCAGAGTTCCGGTCCGCAGTTCAGCCCAGCCCAAGGCCAGCCGAGCGCGCGCGTTACGGGGTATCTAGCCTGTCACAATGTAAACATTCTGCAGAGAAAATTAAACATTCTTATGCCACTCGCTTGTTTGCCCGTCCAAGGACGGGCGTGTATTGAAGTTAATCTGAAGCATTCAATCTAAAATAATGACCCGCTCATGATTATTAATGAAGGGGTGGCGTCGGGGTCCACATGAGTGACGTTATCAGCTCATGGTTATCGATGAGGGGGGAGCTCCATGTGGAGTGACGTCACCCGTTCATAAATATTAATGAAGGGGGGGCTCATGGAGTGACGTCACGCGCGGGACACACATATGCTTGGCTTATTATATTAGTAATTATTTAATTCAGCTCAACCTAAATCCACCCACTGATGAATATTAATGAGGGTGGATGGGCCTCATGTGGAGTGACGTCACGCGGGGGGGTGGGCCTCATGTGGAGTGACGTCACGCGCGGGGCACACACATTCTTGGCTCATTATTGTAGTAATTATTTAATTTAGCTCGGCCTTCCTCTGCGTTCGTGTAAAAATCCACCCACTCATGAATTTTAATGAGGGGGGGGGGTGGGCCTCATGTGGAGTGACGTCACGCGGGGGGGGTGGGCCTCATGTGGAGTGACGTCACGCGGGGGGGGGGGTGGGCCTCATGTGGAGTGACGTGACGAGCGGGACACACACATTCTTGGCTTATTATCGTAGTAATTTGGCAATAATGTGTGTGCAACAAAGCAAATAATACACACATTATGCACTGACATGTGTGTATAATGTACTTTGTTAAATGCAACAACAAAAAATACCCATTGCTTATTGCATTGATAAAATGGTCCGCGGCAAAAGACTTGAAATCACAATATAAGCGGACACCGTCATAAACGGCTTTATGAGCGGCGGAGAATGTGTACATTGGCCGTAGACAGGGGTAGAACCGCATCGGCGGAACTTCAGGTGGTACTCGCTGTCTCAGCTGCAACGGAGGAATTGTCCCTGACCCTTCCACACCCCACGCGCTGTTCACTAGGCGCTGGCTTCTTCTCTTGATCGTGGCGATCATCGGCCCTCCCACCCGCGACTCTACCGATGGGGTAATCGCGTTCAACATTCACTGCACGATGGACATCTTCAAACAACACTGTCAGACAGACGCGGAGCGCTGTGCATTGTGGCGAGGCCACGGTCGTCGCTTGTGGCCCACTGTAAATTGAGTCCGTGTGTCCGCCACTTTTTATTTTGATATTTGACTAAATCAGCCCATGGGCCATGAAAGCACGTGACATTTCACCGACCCTATTGTTAATCTACGGGTTTTGTTGGAAATCGGAGCTCCGTGAATGTTCCTTCTGAGAGCCCACTGAGACACTTAAAAAAGTCTTTTTACAAGGGGGACTCGGGTCACAAATAAAACAGGGATCAAAACAAACAAATTAATACGAATTTAAGATAGGGCTCCAAAGCGCCCATATGCATATTGCCAAGCGCCGACGATGGACGTCTTATCGCAGCAGCAGCAGCAGCAGCACCACCATGGGGAAATCGCCTCGCTTGAATGGCGAGGCGAACAAGGTGCGCTCCGATCATCGATCGCCGTGCCGCGCGACAACCGCCCTCCGCATTTGCCCTCCACATGGCCCGTGTGCCAGCGGCACGGCTGCCGTGGCTACGGCCGTAGTGCCGGTGACCTCCCAATGCGCGTGGACGGAAGCGACGCTCCGCCCACACCGGCACGGAGGGCCCCAACGACGACGATGCCCCTCCCGAGGTCCCAGGCCCACTCGAGCCGGTGCTTGACTTGACAAGCCGCGATATTGGTCTAAGTCTGGAGTATCTATCATAACTCACTATTAACTTACACAGCGGCCGAATCAAAGTGATTTCTGGATCGTCAAAATATTTATTTCGACTGGAGGAATCCGAAGAGCTACAAAGCTCTTTTTTTCCACAAATTTCCTGCTCAAATTAAAATTGCGGCATTGGTGCTCATCTCCTGTTTGCAGCCCTGAACCAGTGGTTGAAATTCCTCATTATTATTGCTGGGGTGAGTCTATCCGCAGGACAACCACTGTTGTTGATTGGCTGTGCCCTTCTGCCCGTGCCCTTCTGCCCTTCCGCTTGCGAGCCGCCCACTCTACCGCCGAGGCCATCCGGCCGCTTAAAGCGTCTGTGTGTCCGTCTTGTGGTGGTTAGGAAGTAGCCTTGGACAACAGGCCTGATTGCAAACAATTCTAATTCACACATCAATCTGAAGTGACAACAACACACAACACTGCTCCTTCCCAGAGAGCATTAACAAATCACAATTACAATCAGCCAGCGACTTGAGGCGGTGAGTCCTGTCTCTGTGCGTGCGTGGGGAGCGGTGGTGTAGCGATGGGGAGCGGTGGTGCGCTACGAACCCGGCCACCCCAGTTCGATTCCCGCTCACGGCCAACACCGGTGGCAATTATCTGAACCGGTCCTGGGGCTCCCCTAGGTCGACTCAGCATCAAGTGAGTACCTGGTGCAGTGTGTAAACATCGCCACTGCGGAGACAAAGGCGGTCGGGTGTGGTACTGGCCACCGATCCCCTCGTGTGCTGTAGCGTCCTTCATAGATGCAGCTCCCTAACAGCACTTGCCCCTCCAGTTTGTCAAGGCTATACGGGGGATCTTTGTCTTTTGTGCGTGTGCATGCGCGTGCGTGTGGGGAGCGGTAGTGTAGCGGTTAGCGCTACGCTGCGCTACGCTACGAACCTGGCGACCCGGGTTCGATTCCCGCTCACGGCCAACATCAGTGACGATTATCTGAACCGTTTCTAGGCCTCCCCTAGATCGACTCAGCCTCAAATGAGTACCCAGTGTGACGAGTAAACATCGCCACTAGGGAGACAAAGGCGGACGAGCGTGGTGTTGGCCACCCACCCACTCGCGTGCCGTGCCGGCCTTCATAGGTGCTCGCTAACAGCACTTGCCCCTACAGCCTGGTACAGGCTACACGGCAGATCTTTGTCTTTGTGTGCGAGTGTCTGAGTGTGCGCGGCCCGTGGCCATGGTTACCAGTGTGTCCACCGTGTGCACCGTGCTGTTGGCGTTGTGCAGGCTGGCGGTGAGCCTCTGGACCCCGTCGTTGGTCTCGCTGTTCCCGTAGAAGCCCACACCGATGGCGCCGCTGCGGGGTGGGGACAGAATATACGTCACGTTATTTCACTCGGGGACATCGCCGGAGATGGGACACCTCGGAGTGCAAGGGTGCCCATGGTGTCCGTGTCCACGTGGTGACGCGCAAGCACGCTTACAACGGTGGCCTTCAAATAAAAATATACGGCATATCGGCGATGTTTTGGGCAACAGCCCATCTTCATATGCTAATGCTGAGCGTGTTGAGTTGGTTTCTTGTTAATTGTGCTGGTCGACCACTGCCAACGCTGCAAGAGCAGCGTCACCAAATAATGTTTCAATATCCACAGACTCACACATTACACACACACACAAACACACAGTTACACGTTTTTTTTCTGGGTTAGATCGCGTAATTACTTAAATGTGTCATTAAACCCGCCACCACCCGACACAGCCAATTAGTAAGGGTTGTCACGTCAACAGAAAATGCCAACATGTTGTGGCTTTGCTCTCCAACACACCGGTGTGCTGTACTCGTAACGAAATGACATTCTGTCTACGTGACAAACCTTACTAAGTGGCCGTGTCGGGCGGTGGAGGGTTTAACGACACATTTGTACATTTACGAGATCTAACCCAAATAAACGATTTCATGGAAATCCGTCACGAAAGCCTACTACATGTTAAACTGACATAGCTACATGGCTCAATAGCTTCAATAGGCTTCACATCCAGGGCAGATAAAAGAACAAGTTCATTTGAAAAGCGTGAGGGGAAGGGGCTTTGTTGTTTTAGCTGCAATGAGAATCCGTTGCAACGTAGGTAAACTATTTCGAAGTGATTTAGACATCATTGCCAAGCAAGCTGCTGAACCCTCTAGGCACGGCGTTATTAAATACGAGCTTCTTTGCCCGTCCTAGGACGGAAGCTGGAATATTTACGGAAAACATTTGAGCAGAGAGTGTAATGGTATCTTGTGTCAATTTAATGGCAGTGAATCTTGAACACAAGTAAGTCATAAAACACCTCACTGCATGCCACTGTAGCACTGTATATAAGTGGCCTTCAATTTGTTCAAATTCACTGCTCTGATACTTTATTATGTTCTGCTTTGCATCGCTGGGGTTGAAATAAATAGGAATTCGATACAACATCTGGAAAATCACCGAGAAATGTCTATTTTACCATAATGTAGAAGCATAAATTAGACTTACCTTGTTTCTCAAGCGCTGCGTATTATTATTTATTAGATTCACTTTCAACAAATAAAAGTCAAACTTGAAGCGAATTTGAGGAAAAAAATTAATGTATTTCCGCTCGACCTTCTGCGTGAGCGTAACCCCGCTCATGAATATTAATGAGGGGTGTGTGGCATGTGGAGTGACGTCACGCACGTTACACACAGACACACTCTTGCCTCGTCAGAATAGTAATCTGCCACATTGCCACCTAAGCATAATTACGCTCATGTCATGGGACGTTTTTGCCAGTATCAAAGTATGAAAAACAAGAATAGGTTTTACCCTTTCTGGCACCAAAACAGTTGTGTTATCAAGTCAACATTAACAACCACTCGTACTTGTGGTGAACATGCAAACAAACTCTCAATATCTGCATTGTCTCTGAAACCGATTGACCTACACTAGAAAGAATGCTGGTGTAGGCCAATCGGTTCCAAAGACAATGCATGTATCATAATCAGTTTGTGTTGCATGTTCACCACAGGTAAGTGTGGTTAATGCGGACTTGATTCCTTGCGACGTGTATCTACTTTGTGTTTGAACATCTTAACACCTGTTTTATTGCCAGAAAGGGCAAAAGCTGTTCCTATTTTTCATATAAATATATATTTTTAAAACTTTGAGTCTCGCTACGCTCCCCATTCATAGCTCTGGTGATGCGTTATATTTGTGCAGCGCGTGATTTTGAATCAATATTCCGCTACAGGGCCGAGTGGAGCTGCGCGCGATGAAAGCTCCGAAATCGATTCGCGTTCACAATCACCTGAACACGACCACAACCACAGTCACCTGAACACGACAACAACCACAATCACCTGAACACGACCACAACCACAGTCACCTGAACACGACAATAACCACAGTCACCTGAACACGACCATAACCACAGTCACCTGAACACGACAATAACCACAGTCACCTGAACACGACCACAACCACAGTCACCTGAGCACGACAATAACCACAGTCACCTGAACACGACAATAACCACAGTCACCTGAACACGAGAATAACCACAGTCACCTGAACACGACAATAACCACAGTCACCTGAGCACGACCATAACCACAGTCACCTGAACACGACCACAACCACAGTCACCTGAACACGACAATAACCACAGTCACCTGAACACGACAATAACCACAGTCACCTGAACACGACAACAACCACATCTACCTTAACACGAGAATAACCACAGTCACCTGAGCACGACCATAACCACAGTCACCTGAACACGACAATAACCACAGTCACCTGAACACGATAATAACCACAGTCACCTGAGCACGACCATAACCACAGTCACCTGAACACAATAACCACAGTCACCTGAACACGACAATAACCACAGTCACCTGAACACGACAATAACCACAGTCACCTGAACACGACCATAACCACAGTCACCTAAACACGACAATAACCACAATCACCTGAACACGACCACAACCACAGTCACCTGAACACGACAATAACCACAGTCACCTGAACACGACAATAACCACAGTCACCTGAACACGACAATAACCATAGTCACCTGAACACGACAATAACCACAGTCACCTGAACACAACCACAGTCACCTGAACACGACCATAACCACAGTCACCTGAACACGACAATAACCACAGTCACCTGAACACGACAACAACCACAGTCACCTGAACACGACAATAACCACAGTCACCTGAACACGACAATAACCACAGTCACCTGAACACGACAATAACCACAGTCACCTGAACACGACCACAACCACAGTCACCTGAACACGACAATAACCAGTCACCTGAGCACGACCATAACCACAGTCACCTGAACACAATAACCACAGTCACCTAAACACGACAATAACCACAGTCACCTGAACACGACAATAACCACAGTCACCTGAACACGACAATAACCACAGTCACCTGAACACGATAATAACCACAGTCACCTGAGCACGACCATAACCACAGTCACCTGAACACAATAACCACAGTCACCTGAACACGACAATAACCACAGACACCTGAACACGACAATAACCACAGTCACCTGAACACGACCATAACCACAGTCACCTGAACACAATAACCACAGTCACCTAAACACGACAATAAACACAATCACCTGAACACGACCACAACCACAGTCACCTGAACACGACAATAACCACAGTCACCTGAACACGACAATAACCACAGTCACCTGAACACGACAATAACCACAGTCACCTGAACACGACAATAACCACAGTCACCTGAACACGACCACAACCACAGTCACCTGAACACGACCATAACCACAGTCACCTGAACACGACAACAACCACAGTCACCTGAACACGACAATAACCACAGTCACCTGAACACGACAATAACCACAGTCACCTGAACACGACCACAACCACAGTCACCTGAGCACGACAATAACCACAGTCACCTGAACACGACAATAACCACAGTCACCTGAACACGAGAATAACCACAGTCACCTGAACACGACAATAACCACAGTCACCTGAGCACGACCATAACCACAGTCACCTGAACACGACCACAACCACAGTCACCTGAACACGACAATAACCACAGTCACCTGAACACGACAATAACCACAGTCACCTGAACACGACAACAACCACATCTACCTTAACACGAGAATAACCACAGTCACCTGAGCACGACCATAACCACAGTCACCTGAACAGGACCACAACCACAGTCACCTGAACACGACAATAACCACAGTCACCTGAGCACGACCATAACCACAGTCACCTGAACACGACCACAACCACAGTCACCTGAACACGACAATAACCACAGTCACCTGAACACGACAATAACCACAGTCACCTGAGCACGACCATAACCACAGACACCTGAACACAATAACCACAGTCACCTGAACACGACAATAACCACAGTCACCTGAACACGACAATAACCACAGTCACCTGAACACGACCATAACCACAGTCACCTAAACACGACAATAACCACAATCACCTGAACACGACCACAACCACAGTCACCTGAACACGACAATAACCACAGTCACCTGAACACGACAATAACCACAGTCACCTGAACACGACAATAACCACAGTCACGTGAACACGACAATAACCACAGTCACCTGAACACGACCACAACCACAGTCACCTGAACACGACCATAACCACAGTCACCTGAACACGACAATAACCACAGTCACCTGAACACGACAACAACCACAGTCACTTGAACACGACAATAACCACAGTCACCTGAACACGACAATAACCACAGTCACCTGAACACGACAATAACCACAGTCACCTGAACACAATAACCACAGTCACCTGAACACGATAATAACCACAGTCACCTGAGCACGACCATAACCACAGTCACCTGAACACAATAACCACAGTCACCTGAACACGACAATAACCAAAGACACCTGAACACGACAATAACCACAGTCACCTGAACACGACCATAACCACAGTAACCTGAACACAATAACCACCGTCACCTAAACACGACAATAACCACAGTCACTTGATCACGACCAGAACCACAGTCACCTGAACACGACAATAACCACAGTCACCTGAACACGACAATAACCACAGTCACCTGAACACGACAATAACCACAGTCACCTGAACACGACCATAACCACAGTCACCTGAACACGACAATAACCACAGTCACCTGAACACGACAATAACCATAGTCACCTGAACACGACAATAACCACAGTCACCTGAACACGACAATAACCACAGTCACCTGAACACGACAATACCCACAGTCACCTGAACACG